TGTCAATTACTTCACATCTAATAAAACAGTGTTGCACTAAGATACTCCTTTTTGTACTTGGGCTCATTTCTTTTGAGCCTATCTCTAAGGGAATCGTCAGATGTACTTCAAGGCAGAGTCTCCCTCTGATGGTGGTTTTTGAGTATACTATATATTCCTGGATACCTGGTTTAAAGAAGGTTAGATGACATCCTGGTTGCTGGCTCCCTCTGGTGGTCTCGGATCAGAGTTCGGTCATTCAGAAGCCTGCCTGACATGCTGTGATTCCTGTCGCTGCTCGTCAGAAAACCCAGATCCAGATGTCCATATTTCGATGATTTCACCATCTGCATGCGCTTAATGTAGCGCTATCTGGTTAGTGCAACTCATTCTCACACTTATCACCAGTGTCACGAATATAGTCTTTCATCAGACATAGACTGTCACTTGTCATCACCTTATTTATGAATCAATTTTGAACTTATGAACTATTCTGACTTAAATGACCAATAACTTTTATGTTTGTAGCCCTGTGGATTTAGGTGTATTACTTTCACCCTAGCGCAGCATGTTCTATCCTTATATTCATTTTGCTTACTGAAGGTTTTGAGGTATTGCCTTTTTCATGCTAGCTGCTCTATATATAGATCTAGCCCTCGTTTTTTTTCTGCACAAAAATTTAAGTCCCCAAGGATGCGGAATTGAGCAGATTTACCATTCTGGGAGGCATGAAGTTGAAATGGGAACCGCCACTGGTAGCCCTGCGCATAGCCAGAGTCTGGCGGGAAACGTCAGGGAGGAGCATCACTGGCACTTTGTTGAATAGAATGGTGTCTTGCGTGCTAGATGCATGCATAATGGTGTCCTTGACCTTAAAGAAGTGGACACTGCACAGGGTAACACGGACAAAAGATGGATCAGGATTCCTGGGGCCCATCGTGCAATGTACACAGTCCAATTCAATATAGGTGTCTTTAGGTTGATGTAGTAATTGATTGAAGATGGAGGTAACCACTGCGGTTAAATCTTTAGATTCAATGGTTTCTGGTATGCCCCTGATCCGGATATTGTTACGGCGGTTCCTGTTCTCAATGTCATCTTGTTGGTACATTGTATTAGAACCGTATGGGAGTTAAGGGTCTCTTCGTGGGATTGTAAAGCATTACACAGACCTTCGGCGGTATTTTCAATCTCTTCCATATGCACACACGTCTTGTTTAAGATCAGAAATTTCTTTCAAAGAAAGCTCAAAATCTGCCATTGTAGGAAGGGATTTAACCACTAGGGGATAGCCCGCAGTAAATATACTGCTACAAGGCAGCCCCTGTGCGCAGGATCACATATATAAACGTGATCCTGCATTCAAGGGTAGGGGGGGCGCGCGCGACCGCCCTACCCGCGGCACCGATCGCGGCCGCGGGTGTCAATCACAGGGTCACGGCCGGTGATTACCCGCCGGAGCCCGGCGATTGCCGGCAATCACTGACAGAGAGGAAGGCTGCATTGTTTTCAATAGAACTTTCCTTCCTGTCAGCTTTCAGCACACTGTTCCGGGATCCCAGGACACAGCCTCTCGGGACAATGTGTAACAGAGAGGTAAACACCCCCCGCCCCCTAGTAAAACACTCCCCTCACACAGTTAACCCTTTGTCTCCAAAAGTTAACCCCTTCCTTCCCAGTGCCATTAGTACAGTGTCAGTGGTTTTTTTTTGCACTGATCACTGTATTGGTGTCACTGGGGATGTCAGTGACCCCAAGTCAGTCCCCCCCAGTGTCAGAATGTCCGCCACAATCCCGCCATAAGTCGCTGATCGCCACTATAAGTTGCTGATTGCCACCATAAGTCGCTGATCACCACTATTATTAGTATAAAAAAAATCCAGTATCTATACCGCAATTTGTAAACGCTAGAACTTTCACGTAAACCAATTAATTTACACGTATTGGGATTTTTTTTAGCAAAGACATGTCGCGGAATACATTTTGGCCGAAATTTATGATAGAATTTGATTTTTACTTTTTGTTACTTGACATTTTATAGCAAAAAGTCAAAAATATTGTTTTTTTTTTCTCAAAATTGTCGAGCTTTTCTTTTATAGAGCAAAAAAAAAAAAACGCACAGGCGATCAATTACCACCAAAAGAAAGCCCAAATCTGGGGGAAAAATATGTTATTTAATTTTGGTGCAGCATTGCATGACCACACAATTGTCAGTTAAAGTAACGCAGCGCTGTAACACAAACCGCTTATGTAACCGCTTCCTGACCGCCCTATAGCAGAAATACTGCTACAGGGCAGCACAGGTGCGCAAAATCACACACACACACACATATATATATATATATATATACACACACATGATTCGCGCTCCTGTGGTTTTCACCCCCTCCCAGATAGCGTCACATTGCCCGCTAGTACACCAGTAATCACAATTAACCCCTTGATTGCCAGGAACACGCTCATACACAGCAAACCTCTATTGCTAGTATAGTGTCTGAACGGATCAATATCTTTGATCTCAGCACTATACCAGCATTCACATTAGTATAGCGTCCCCAAAAACACAGCGTTAGCGGGATCAGCCCTGCTAGCACCCGCGTTTAGCCTCTATGCTTACCCCCCCCCTCTCCCCCAGCAAGTGCAGTGTCAGTAGGTCACTGTCACTTCATACATTGCACACAAAACCGCAGTGTTCGCAGAATCAGGCCTGATCTCTGTTAGCACTTGCCGGTAAATTTTGATGACTCATATGCAGAAGAGTGCCAATACTAGTGCCGCGCTATCTTTTGGTGAACTGGCGAGCACCAGCGGCCTAGTACATCCTGGTCTTTCACGTACCTCTTAAATTGTAAGCTCCAAGGGGCAGGGCCCTCCTAACTCTCTTGTATTGAACTGTAATGTTGCTGTATTGTCTCCCATTATATTGTAAAGCACTGAGCAAACGGTTGGCGCCATATAAATCCTGTATAATAATAATACCAGCACTGCAGTATGATGTGGCGAGTCCCATAAGTGCAGTACAAGCTGGTGTGGTGGCGAGTGTCAGGGCTCCCGGGTATGACCAGAGGTGTGTGACTGACGCAGGGAAACGCAGACTTCAGATATGTTATAAACAATACGATTTATTAACACTAACAATACAAACATAAACGCAGTGCAATACTAAACATAATACAGTGCAAACAAACCCAACCAACCACCCACAGATAACAGTACAAACAATGCGAGCGTCGTCAGGCAGGCCGGGTCAATATCAATCGGGCAGGTAGGTACAGGGGGAGCAAGCGGAGAATGGTTGGGGTCACAAGCCAGGGTCAGCAGGTAGCGGGCAGTGTGGTACAGAGTGTCAGGCAGAGGGATGGTCAGGAACGAGCCGGGGTCAGAGCAGGAGAAGTCAGCAGAGGTATAGATCAGGCCGGGTCAGCAACAAGACAGGAACAGGAATAGGAACAGGAACAGAAACAGGAAGCAGGAACAGGATACAGGGCCCAGGAAAAACATACACCAAGGCAGAGTCTGCAGGTCTGGCCATCCCTTAAATACACCAGCATAAGCAGTTTCAGGTGTTTTGCTGGCTGCAAGGTTGAGTCTCTGATTGCTGGGAGCACCCGCTGGCCAGCCCTGGTACTGCAGCTCATAAGGCCGGTGAGTCCCACCATTGCTGGCCAGTCCATTCCTGACAGTACCCCCCCCTCAAGGAGCGGCTTCAGGACGCTCCAAACAGTCCTAGCTGGGCAAAATGTTCCACCGCCCGGGTCTGGTAACTGGCGGGATATCAAAGACTGGCCCACCGGGCAGGACTCCGGGCAGCGGCACACCAGGCAGGACTCCGGGCAGCGGCACATCGGGCAGCGGCACACCGAGAAGAGGCACACCGGGCAGGACTTCGGGCAGTGGCACATCGGGCAGGACTCCGGGCAGAGGCACATCGGGCTGGACTCCGGGCAGAGGCACATTCGGGCTGGACTCCGGGCAGAGGCACATCGGGCAGGACTCCGGGCAGAGGCACATCGGATGGACAGGCGACGCAGCAGGCAGCGGGGGGCACCAGGTGGAGCAGCAGGCACCGGGCCACCAGGCGGAGCAGCAGGCACCGGGCCACGGGCAGGCGGAGCAGCAGGCAGCGGGCCCCCAGGCGGAGCAGCAGGCAGAGGGGCCACCAGGCGGAGCAGCAGGCACCGGGCCCCCCAGGCGGAGCGGAGCAGGCACCGGGCCCGGGCCCCCAGGCGGGGCGACAGGCACCGGGCCCCCAGGCGGGGCGACAGGCATCGGGCCCCCAGGCGGAGCGGCGGGCGCTGGGCCCCCAGGAGGGGGGACAGGACAGGCATCGGGCCCCCAGGCGGGGCGACAGGCATCAGGCCCCCAGGCGGGGGCGACAGGCATCGGGCCCCCAGGCGGGGCGACAGGCATCGGGCCCCCAGGCGGAGCGGCGGGCGCCGGACCCCCAGGCGGAGCGACAGGTCTCGGGCCCCCAGGCGGAGCGGCGGGCGCCGGACCCCCAGGCCTCAGCCCCCAGGCGGAGCGGACAGGTCTCAGGCCCCCAGGCGGAGCGACAGGTCTCAGGCCCCCAGGCGAGAGCTGGCAAGCGGGCGCCGGACCCCCAGGCGGAGCGGCGGGGCGCCGGACCCCCAGGCGGAGCGACAGGTCTCGGGCCCCCAGGCGGAGCGGCGGGCGAGTCACCGAGTCACCAGGCACGACAGTGGGCTCCGAGTCAACTGGCAAGACTGCGGGCACCGAGCCAACTGGCGGAACAGCGGGCACCGAGTCGTCTGGCAAGACTGCGGGCACCGAGTCGTCTGGCAAGACTGCGGGCACCGAGTCGTCTGGCGGAACAGCGGGCATCGAGTCAACTGGCGGAACAGCGGGCACCGAGTCGTCTGGCAAGACTGCGGGCACCGATTCGTCTGGAAGACTGCGGGCACCGAGTCGTCTGGCAAGACTGCGGGCACCGAGTCGTCTGGCAAAAAGCGGGCATCGAGTCAACTGGCGGAACAGCGGGCACCGAGTCGTCTGGCAAGACTGCGGGCACCGAGTCGTCTGGCAAGACTGCGGGCACCGAGTCGTCTGGCAAGACTGCGGGCACTGAGTCGTCTGGCAAGACTGCGGGCACCGAGTCGTCTGGCGGAACAGCGGGCATCGAGTCAACTGGCGGAACAGCGGGCACCGAGTCGTCTGGCAAGACTGCGGGCACCGAGTCGTCTGGCAAGACTGCGGGCACCGAGTCGTCTGGCAAGACTGCGGGCATCGAGTCGTCTGGCAAGACTGCGGGCACCGAGTCGTCTGGCATTGGATCGTCTGGCTCGACAGCGGGCATCGGGTCACCAGGTATGACAGCGGGCACTGGGTCACCAGGCATCAGGTCATTTGGCTCGCCAGCGGGCACCGCGTCATCTGGCAAGGCAGTGGGCACCGAGTCACCAGGTACGACAGCGGGCTCTGAGTCAATTGGCACGACAGCGGGCACCGGATCAGGTACCGGATCATCTGGATCAACAGCGGGCATCGAGTCAACTGGCCAAATAGGATCATCAGGCTGGATCACTTCATTATGCTGGGTAGAAGCATCCGGCTGAGTAGAGGCTTCAGGCTGAGTAGAGGCTTCAGGCTGAGTAGAGGCTTCAGGTGAGTCAGGCTTCAGGCTGAGTGGAGTAGAGGCTTCAGGCTGAGTGGAGGCATCAGGCTGAGTGGAGGCATCAGGCTGAGTGGAGGCATCAGGCTGAGTGGAGGCATCAGGCTGAAGAGAGGCATCAGGCTGAAGAGAGGCATCAGGCTGAACCACGGAAGGCAGGTTCTCGGACGGCAGGCTGACCGGTTTGGATACTGGCAGGATGGTACTGGTTGGAAAGAATTTTCGCTTTTTTCTGGTTTTAACTACTGGGGCACTGCAAGTAAACGCAGGTCTGCAAATGAATGGAGCAGCTGGAGACAGAGAAGAGCTGGAGGATGGAACAGTCGCTACAGAGGGCTTCTTTACAGGGTTAAAGGCAGGATAGGTGCAGCGAGTGGGAACAGGGTACTGACATGCGGTAGATAGCCAAGTATACTGGGCTGTAACTGGAGGAGTTGTTGGGAATACAGGAGTAGAGCTTTGAGGAAATAGATTAGAAGCAGGACTGGGTCTTTGTAAGCTGACTGAGGCTGGGTGTAACAAATCTGTCCATGTCTGCAGTATGGGTTGAACAAAGCTGAGCTTACTCAAAGCCTGTCTGACCAAAGACTGCACTGCGTTTATACAATCTCTTAGTACCTGTGGTGAACATGTGGAATAACGCTCCAGAAAGTAACCCACATCATCCTCTAATAACCACACCAGGGACTCTACCTGGTCTGCACTAAATGGTGGCAAAAATTCATCCCTGCATTCGGGGGTACCAGATGAAACCAACTCAGCACAAACCTCAATCAATGGCTGCACCTCAGAGAACTCTGTGCCCTGATCTACTAGAACATGAGCGAGCCGTATACATTCTAGCAGTTCATCCCGGGTATACTCCTTCAGAGTTTGATAAGCATACTCCCTGTCATCAAACACTAGCAGATATAAATACGCAACCTCATCCAGATCCATCCTTCCCATCAACAAACCAACAAACCAAGATGGCTCCCTGTGCAGCCACTTCTGGTCAGGATTGGCCTTGGTGTAATGTCAGGGCTCCCGGGTATGACCAGAGGTGTGTGACTGACGCAGGGAAACGCAGACTTCAGATATGTTATAAACAATACGATTTATTAACACTAACAATACAAACATAAACGCAGTGCAATACTAAACATAATACTAAACATAATACAGTGCAAACAAACCCAACCAACCACCCACAGATAACAGTACAAACAATGCGAGCGTCGTCAGGCAGGCCGGGTCAATATCAATCGGGCAGGTAGGTACAGGGGGAGCAAGCGGAGAATGGTCGGGGTCACAAGCCAGGTCAGCAGGTAGCGGGCAGCGTGGTACAGAGTGTCAGGCAGAGGGATGGTCAGGAACGAGCCGGGGTCAGAGCAGGAGAAGTCAGCAGAGGTATAGATCAGGCCGGGTCAGCAACAAGACAGGAACAGGAATAGTTATAGGAACAGGAACAGAAACAGGATACAGGGCCCAGGAAAAACATACACCAAGGCAGAGTCTGCAGGTCTGGCCATCCCTTAAATACACCAGCATAAGCAGTTTCAGGTTGAGTCTCTGATTGCTGGGAGCACCCGCTGGCCAGCCCTGGTACTGCAGCTCATAAGGCCGGTGAGTCCCACCATTGCTGGCCAGTCCATTCCTGACAGCGAGCACAAGTATTGTCCCGCAAACACCAAGAATTCGCACACAGGCCCGTAGAGCCCCTAGTATCCTTCCGGATGTGCTTGCAAATCCTGATTGGCAGCCCACAAATTCTGCAGCACCTGTACTTCTCCCATTCACTGCCCAACCTGGAATTCAGGTGGAAATAGCAAATTTAACTACTCTCTTTGATTTTTTGGAGCTGTTTTTCATGGAAGATCTGTATGCATGGATTGTGGATCAAAGCATTTTATAAGCACAATTTATCTGTCACAAGCTAGCTTGCAGCCTGTTGTGTTTACTCTTACCTCCATGCTGCTCTTGATTCCTTCACATGTGTGTTTCTCTGTGCTCACCTATGGGCATCGTCTGCTTTTCCCTGGGTTTTATGTCCTTCCCTTCCTGTCCCACCTCCTTGTCTGCCTGTCTATTTAAGATGTGCTCAGACTTGGCCACATTGCCTGAGCAACGTTTGTTGTTGGAGCTCCCCAGTGGTCTCCTGAATCCGTTTAGTATATCTGTGTACCGACCCTGGCTTTGTTCCTGACATTCCTCCTGTATTGTCTATCCGTGCACCGACCCCGGCTTGTTCCTGACATTGCTAGTGTTCCACCTGTACTGACCTCGGCTTGCCTACTGGATCTCCTGTATCTACTCCCATTGCACCCTGCTCCCCCTAGCGGTCTCTTCTACCTCAGCTGGGTGTACCTGGGGGCCGTGACCTGGTTCCAGCCTGCTCCAAGTCCATCCCCACCATCAGGGGCCCTGGTGAACAAGCAGGCTGGGGCTTAGACTCCGCGCCCTAGGGAACCCCAAGCTGTGGTTTTATAGAGCTCACTACCATAGACGTGACATTATCGCCACCAACCCAAATTCAAACCTTGCCAGACTATTCGCATGGAAACCCATTATGGTTTTCGAACTTTAATTTTTTTGGGGGGCTAACCCTCAACATGGATATTACTAAAAAAAATTAATTCCGGTTGTATTGGTCCACAGACCCGATTCATCAAATGCCCAAGTTCTCTGCTGCCATGGCCAGGCATAGATATGAGAGTATAATGTGTTTTATGCATTTCAATAACCATACACTCTGTCGTCCTCAAGGTGACCCTGAATTTGACCGGCTCCACAAAATTCAGCCCCTCATAAATCACCTTAACCAAAAATTTGCAGATGTCTATACTCCCCAGCAAAAAATCTGCGTTGATGAGTCCCTCAATTTTTCTGGCCGCCTTGCATTCAAACAATTTTTCCCCAGCAAGCGTGCCAGATATGGGGTCAAGATGTAGAAGACCTGTGAGAGGACAACAGGCTATAATAAGCTTCGGATTTACGAAGGAGCCCCCCGGATGCCCAGACTACATGGGGAGCAGTGGCAAGATAGTTTGGGACTTGGTGTCATCCTTTTTCCATATGGGGTACCACTTATACGTGGACAATTTTTATTCAAGCGTGCCACTATTCAGACATTTGTATAATCTTGGAACTGGCGCATGTGGCCTAATGTGTGCCCACCATTAGAAGTGGGTGGATGCAGGGCAAACCACACATTTTTTTTTTTTTTGGCAGAGATTTTTGTTTTTTTCATTCAGCCCATAGGCTGCATACAAAAAAAAAGAGCATATATACCCAACAAGGACCAGCGCCGTACTGGTACATCACTGGACTTTGAATGGTTATACCAGGATGATGCCTACAACTGCAGGCATCATCCTGGTATTTCTTTTCAGCTGCCGATCGGCTTTCATGTAAAAGCAATCCTAGTGGCTAATTAGCTGCAGGATTGCTTTTACAAGCAGAGGGAGACAATACCCCCCCTCCCCTGCTGCCTTCCTTGGCCTTCTTGGGCAGTCCCGTGCCATCAGGGGAACCTGAGAATGCAGCCGGCTCCAATCAGCTCTATAGCTGATTGGAGACCAGAATGGTGCCAATCATCTCTATACCTAAGAAATCAGAACCTACGAGCATTTCATCACTTCAGTTTTGCAGGATATAAACAGCGCCATTTGTAAATTAGGAAAGCAACTGATCACACTGATCTTGGTTTGATTAGATAATGTTAGGGCAGAGGAGATATCTAGAGTCTGATAGAACCCAGATTTCTGAAAAAAGAATATATGACAATGCCCATTGAAGTTATAGGGGATATTTTCAATCCCTGTGATAGCATTAAAAGTGATCAAAAAAAAAAAAAAAAAGGACAGAGTAAAAACTAAAAAAATCAAAATAACTTAAGAAAAAAATAAAAAAAGTACCCTCAGTCCCCCCGCCCCCCAACACGCACCTGCGTTCATGAGCCTTGACCCTGTGCTAGTATGGAAACAGCAGTTGCACCATGCATGTGAGGTATCGCCACGAATGTCAGATCAAGGGCAGTAATTCTAACACTAGACCTCTGTAAATCTAAAATGGTAGCTTGTAAAGGCTTTTAAAAACATTGCCTATGGATATTAAAAACTTATACAGTTTGTTGCCATTGCAAGGGGCATGCAGTTTTAAAGCATGATTGGTATCTATTTACTCGGTATACAATCATTTTTTATATTTTACCAAATAATTGGCTAATATATTGTGTTTTTGTGCATTAAAAGTAAAAAAAAGTGTATTTTTTAAAAAAAAATTGTGTTTGAAAAATCGCTGCGCGATTACTATGTGACATACAAAATTTCAGCACCAACCATTTTATTCACTAGAGTGTTTCCTTTAAAAAAATATAAAATGTTTGGGGTTTAATTTCCTAGCAAAAAATAGATTTTTTTCATGTGAACAAAAAGGGGTTTATTTACTAAAGCTGGACAGTCCAAAATCAGACTCCCTTCTGCATAGAAACCAATCAGCTTCCAGGTTTCATTGCCAAAGCTTCATTGAACAAGCTGAGGTTAGAAGCTGATTGGTTTCTATGCAGAAGTGAGCCTGATTTTGGACTGTCCAGCTTTAGTAAATAAACCCCAAAGTGTCAGAAAAGGCTTGGTCTTCAGGTGGTTAGAAGAGTGAATGATGTGTGGCATAAACTTCTAATGCTGGGCATAAAATGTTCCCACCCTCCAAAATGACCACATTTTGGAAAGTAGGCACCCCAAACTATTTGCTAAGAGGCGTTTTGAATCAATAGAATAATTTATTTTTTTACCACAAGTTTTTGGAAAATGACAAACAAAAAAAATTTTTTTTTTTTTTTTTTACACAAAATTGTCACTTAAATGATTTATTGCTCACACATGCCATGGGTATATGTGGAATTACTCC